TCCAGCTGAGGATGGGACAGGTCTCCCATGAAGAACTCATGGACTATGTTATCCACCTCTATCCAACTACAGCCCGGTGTTTTCGTTACGCCTTTGTCTCGCATCCTCAGCCTACAGTTTGCTGCATCATCCAGCCTACCCATTGAAGTATATACATTGGCAAGATAGACATAGCTTCCAGAATGACCGGAATCTAGCTCGAGAATGTGCTGCACAACGCGTTCGCCTCTCTCGGTGTCTTTATAAATCCGACAACCACCAAGCAATGCACCCCAGACTATAACATTGGGCTTTACAGGCATGGAGTTGATCAAATCTTCTGCTTCAACAAGGCGGCCGGCGCGGCTGAGAAGATCAACCACACAACCATAATGCTCAACCTTGGGGAAGATCCCATATATTTTGTCCATCATATCGAAATACTCAAGCCCCTTGTCGACCAAGCCAACATGAGTGCACGCTGTCAATAAGCCCATGAAAGTAATGTCATTTGGCTTCACCTCATGCTCAATCATTTTGTTGAAACACCCGAAAGCTTCATCGGCATGGCCATTCGTGGCCAACCCAGTAATGATAATGCTCCAAGATATCACATCCCTCTGATGCATCTTTCCAAAAACCAGCTTAGCCTCAGCTATGGAGCCACACTTGGCATACATATCTGCCAATGCATTCCCCAAAAACAAACCCAACTCCATCCCACGCTGTCTTATAAACTTATCAATCCACTTCCCCAAGTCAAGTGCACCAAGATGAGCGCAAGCAGACAACACACTAACAAGCGTGACATCATTTGGCGCCAATCCATACTGTTGCATTTGCCTAAACAAACCAATGGCCTCAGCATACTTCTCATTCTGCGCATACCCGGCAATCATCGCATTCCATGAAACCACATTCCTCTCCGGCATCTCATCGAAAAGACGGCGAGCTTCCCCCAACTCACCGAACTTCGCATACGCAGTGATCATAGTCGACCAAGAAAACAAAGTCTTCTCTGCCATCCCATCAAACACCCACCTGGCCTTATCAACCTGCCCGCTCAAGCAATACCCCGAAACCAAAGTGTTCCATGAAACAACATCTCTCACACCCATTTCATCAAACAGCTTATGGGCAATCCCGAAATTACCCACCTTGAAATACATATTAGTAAGCGAATTTCTGACAAATAAATTACCCTCACACCCGTATTTAGCAACAGAGCAGTGAACTTTCTCTCCCTCCGTCACTTGGGCAAGGCCAGCGCAGGCCTTGAGCACAGAAGTGAACGTGTACTCATCTGGGGCCGGAGCATTTGGCGAACCCAGTTGCCGATTGAAGTAATATATGGTGTGCTGCCAGTCATTGTTTTGAGCAAAGGCTTTGAGGAGGGCATTATAGACGAAGATGTTTGGGGCTGTGAGGAAATGGTTGAATACGAGCACCACGTGGCGGATGTTGGCGTGGTCGGCGCAGACGCCGATGAGCTTGACGGCGATGATGTTTGGGTCGATGGAGGGTAATGGGTTGATGGTCGCTTGGGCTTGGATTTGGTAGAGGTGGCGCATGGTAAGCTGGGCGGCGCATCTTAGTAGAAGGTGAGTGAGCTTGGGGTGGTTGTGCGGATAAAGAAGAGCCAGGATGGGTTCGGCTGAGTCGCTGACTCGGTTACTCTACGCAATGTTTTACGGAGAAGACGACCTCGGACGACGAGTTCAAATGTCACAGAACTAAACCAGCGCAGCGGAGCCCCTGGGCCTAAAGCCCAAGTCTCGTATTTTTATGATATATTTATATATCAAGGCCCATAAGGAATGGGAAAGAAAGAATCTAATGTCCTGTATCTTAATCGTTGAATAAGACTAATCAATTTAATATAATAGTTAACTAATTTGATTCAACGGTTAAGAGATAGGATCTCATATAATGGCCATATATAACATCCTTACTATAGAATTCTTGGGGAAAGAAAACAGAAGTGCCTTACAATATTGGGAGTCCAACTCGAAAGGAATGAGTCCTTTTTTTTTTATAAGACTTTTATTATTGAAAGGGTTGATAACTCACACATATTACACGGATATTAAGATTTGTATTTAAAATTTTAAAGAGCAATTACTTCGAACCACTACACTAGAAGAAATGAGACTTTTAAGTGAAGCGAGGAAATAAGTTTTCTCTTTTCCGCTACTTTGTACTGTTCAAGCAGCCGAGAGGCAAATCTGGACAAAGCGACAGAAACGCTAATGTATAAAAATTGACCCAAATTTTTTTTGTATTTTTATTGAAAAAAAGAAGAACATGAGAAAAACGTGGCAGAATCACAGGTTTTTTTGTTTAAAATTTATATTTTAATATATATATATATATTTTTACCAAAGGTAGAATTACAGGTTCACTTCACTCAAAATTACTCGAAATCTGAAACTATAAACACCGATAAGCCGCTGTCTTTCTATCTCTCTCTCTGTCTGTGTTCTGAATCAGGATTAGAGAAGAAAATTGTGTGTGTGTTTGGAGCGAGTGAGATTAGCAGAAAGAGAATGGGGATTCCAACGGAAATGAGGGACATGTGGGTGAACCGCGGAAAAGGGTTGCTCATTCCTTCGCCAGCTGAAGAACAGAAGAGGTTAAGATCCGCAAAGTGCACCCAAGGTTTGTTTTCGTTAATCACTGATTATAATTTGGGCAAGCTCTGTTTTCATCCTCTACCCAGTTGAGTTTGTCTGATTGATCGACCATCTGGTTGGTTTGGTTTAGATTGCTAGGTTATTAGTTAGTTAATTAACTTGTAATGTTTGGAAAATTTGAAATTCCTGTCCGGTTCTGTTCTGAGAATCGGCGAGAACGAGAACGAGGAAAAGGAAATAAAGAAATTGGATCTGTTGTTTTAACTTTTTGTTTATACTGACCTGAATTGAATTGTAATTTAATAAATAAAAAAAGAGCGGTAAATTTTCTTGGGTCATGTTTGATTGAGTTGACTGTTTATGTTCGATCAATTCGGCAGCAACCCAATGGTGGAAACTTTGTATTTTCTTATTGATTTACAATTTAGTAATGCATTTGACTTGTAGACAGGAAAAACTTAGCTGTCACCACGGTTCATCATGTCAGAAAGAGAGAAAGGTTTCATGAACCTGTGATAGCTAAGTTTTTCTTCAGTTAGACAGTGTTTAATATCACTTGACATTTCCGTAATTTGCAGAGGGTGCAAAAGAGGGATTCAAGGCCGCTGCCATTGCTTGTGCTCTCACCACCGTGCCTACAGTATGTGTCATGTTGCTAAATTTTCCATAAGTTTATTTGTTCGGTACAAATTGGCAGCTTGCATAACTATGCATGAGCAACAAGCCTGAATCCTAGTTTTCATTTCCTACCATCTGCTACTGCACGTTTGATCTTCTTTGTGTCCTTGTGGGTTATGCTCTTTAGCTTGTTTGTATTGCCTTCTTAGTCGTGTGGAAGACGGTCCATTGAACATCTATGAATTATAATGTTGATATGATGGGTCTCATCTGAATTGAAAAATGGAGTGCAAACAAATTGCATGGTTGTCTGAGAAAAAGAAAAACGGTCCTTCAATCTTCTCTTTGAAGTCTTTATGTCATTTGTGACTATGTAGTTCAAACATTTTGTATTATATTTGGAGGCTGCGCCTTGGCCGACTTGCTCCAAACTTGGGTGGTTGCAGTCTTGAGTCGCAGAAATAGCCTCTGGGAATAAGGGGTATGTCTATGTCTGTTGATGTCATGTCGTGTCCTCCCCAGATTTTGCATTGAGAGCCTCATGCACTTGGATGTTCATTTTTCTCGTTGCAACTCTATTTTTGACTTTCTGGATTCAAGGCAGATCTTGCCATCTTGGTTTACTTTTTGATGACTAATATTGACTTCTTGTTCATATTCCCAGTTGGCTGCTGTTCGTATGATTCCTTGGGCAAAGCATAACCTCAATTATACTGCTCAAGCACTCATCATATGTGGTGGTATGATTTGAAATTCATTTATTGCTATCCTTGTGCAGAGATGTGGGGCAATTCTACTGGATATAGAACTTTAATTATTAATCCTCCCGCATAAAGCTTTAGTTTTCAATGCCCCTATATCCACGAAAAAATTGTCTTCATGGGAAATCTGACTTGTATTATTACTTAATGAACAGCATCAATTGCTTCGTACTTCATCACTGCCGATAAAACTATCTTAGCATGCGCCAGAAAAAATGCCCAGTTGGAAGATTCCTTGAGACGCCAGAAGCAGTGATATCATGCAACTCTAACTTGAAGCGATATGAGTACCATTCAATGCATTGCCATTGAAAAATTAGTGCATTTGATGGGTGCATCGAACACTCCTACAATAATCCCATCATGTGCTTATCGTATGATTAGTTCTCGTCAGCTACATTCTCGTTTGTATGCAAGAATTTTTTTTAAGTTATGGCACATGGCTGGGGCAGCTTGTGCTGTTTATTTCATGAATCTGTTTCGTGTGTTTATATTGTATTCCCCTTTCGTTATCCCCATTTCTTTTTCTTTGGCCAAGGGAGAACAAGGGAGAAGAGATTTTTCATTAATAAGGCTGGGGTTAAGTGACGTATTTTGGATTGCATAGAATTACAAGTTTTTTTTTTTTCAGTTTGCTACTGTGATTGGTATTTTATTCATTTCATTTAAGCTATACGTATACCATGTAGCTCTTGCGAGAAAAATCAGAAAGGCAAGGCAGGCAAAATGAGATACTCGTAAAAAGAATCCCAGTTCTTTTATCTTTTGGTAGGATTGGAGCCAAACGGCCCCTAAAAATCCAGTTGAGTCGGCAAATATCAGAACTCAAACAAGTTTAAATCGAGCTATGTGACTTGCTGTTAAAAGCATTGATGACTGTATGAACAGATTTAAATTTGCATTCATGATAAATTGTCAAACTTGTCTTTTCCATCTCCTATGATGTCGTTCGCAAGTGTTAAGGATAGAGGGCGATTCAATGTACACATGGTAAAAATCTCTTTGTAAGTGTAAAAAATTGACAATTTTTTATTATCTCTTGAACTAGTCTCAGTAGCAGTTCTTTATGACGGAGACAAAATCATCGTGAAGCATCTGGCTGGTTGCATGCCTCAATCCAATTATTAAGCTATGGCTGTGCTAAATTCTTCCTTGTCTGAACTGAAGGTCAAAATGCATACCGGTAGATGGCATCGGCTGCGCCATCTTCGTCATTGCTTGCACCAATTACATTAGCCACAGCTTTTGATTTCTCTGATCCGTTACTAAGAGCAACGCCTAAAGAAGCCAGCTCAAGCATCTCTATATCATTCTCTCCATCGCCAATAGCCATGATCTAAAGAATAAATTGTTAGGATCAATCAGGAAAAAAATCAGAACTGATACATAACTAAGAAGGAAATATGTAAAACTCGATAAGACGGTGATAATCTCTGGAGGTGATCATATACATTTGTAACCTTGACTAGGGATGCCTATATTCCCAACTGGTGGTAATAACCCTAATGCGATCAAGTAAAGGTATACGACTAACTCCCATTAGAGGCTAAAACAACAATATAGGAAAATAACTCTGTTGGTACATACCTCCTTTGGAGTGATTCCCAAATGATCAAGTAGCATGTTTACTCCACTCCCTTTTGAGGTTCCCGCGGGAACAATTTCAAGGTGACCTGGTACAGCTTGAACAACTTTCGCACGATCTCCAGTTGCTTGTGACCAGTATGGCCTTAAAGTAGTAGCCACTACCTCAGCGGTGTCTAAGAAGAGTACTTTCTGTATATCCAGAAGAGCAACAATATATTAGTTTCATGATAGTGTTACAGTTGATTAGAGACTGACAGAACTTCAATTTTCCACAAGATTTAAGTGTTATGAATAAAGAGAAATTAAGAGCAAAGCTCAGTGCGAGTGGCTTGCACATTTTCATAATGCATAAACCTGGAATGGTTTTGAATGTAAATTGAAAATAAACATCCCTAGAGTTAATCAAACCGGATGTAAATAGTCAGACCATAATGGCAATTGAACTCAAAAGTCAAAGAGAGAGAGAGAGAGAGAGAGAGAGAGAGGGAGACCTGTATGTCAGCATCAGCCAAGAGATGCTCAACTGAAGGGATGATTTCCGCCTGTAAATATCTTTCATGTAAACCTTATATAAAAAGGGAAAAGGGGAGGGGGGAGCTCATGCAATAAAGAAATTTATTATCATGATGAAACAGTAATCTTTTGGCACCTTTGGCTCATTATATACTGTATGCAGTGAGTCAACAGATGGATGATCAAATAGAGATAAGCAACGATCCTTGCCGAACGCAATAAGAGGAACCTTATTCTCCAATGAGTAAAGACATGCCTGCACAAAAAGAGCATATGTCTTTTGTTTCAATACATTTCCAATGGAACAATGAAAGTCTAGCAATCCCCACCAAGGTATTACCTCTCTGCAGACACTTGGATCTAAATTCTTTCTAAAGATTTCCCGACCTTGTTTACCATAAACAAGCAATCCCTAGAATCAAGTAGAGGCAGCTAATAAGAACAGAAAGTACTAATATCAACTCACGCAAAAATATTTCTAAGAAAGAGAAGTATACCCAACAATCAGTAAGGCATTCTGTTTGTTTGGTATAAATATGACCCATTAAGTCAGTAAAATTTAGTACGAATTTACCTTACAAGTTTGGTGACAGACAAAGAACATGAAAAAAATTTAAGACCGATCAGGAATGGTTAGCACAGTTCAATATAGTGTCCTCATCAAGCTTACAAAAGGAAGAAAAACATCTAGGTCTAAACCAAATGCAGATTGTTGTGTACAATTTGGGTAAATACAAGTGATAAAATTATGCAATCACATTCAACAGAAGACTGAGCATGTATCTGACAAGTGAATACAGTGCTTTGTTCATCAGATTCAACTTGCAACATGGTGAGGACGAAATTTGTAAGGAGAAAAGATAAACCTGCAAGAAAACCCCAGGAGAAAATTCTGAAACAATGCCATCTTTTCCAGATAAATCTACCTCCTTAAAAATGTTTATGACGGCTGAACGAGACTGTTCCAAAGAATTATGAACAATTAGAAGATTTTTCAACCAACAATAAAACATTAGATTAACAAATTTACCAAAATAGACCAATCAAAATAAGTAAAATTCATATTGGCGAACATAAATGAAAACAGATTTAGAGTATAATATCCTCCTGATTATGAATAAAAAGAAGAATTTATTACTTTTCCGGTAGCTATCACTACTTTCACACCCCTTGATGAGACCTCTTTGAGAGCTTTCACAGTTGTTGAACTAATATGATTTTTGCTGTTGAGAAGTGTGCCTTGTATATCAAGAGAATAAATATAAAAAGTTTATCATAAGCTTAATAAACAGCAGAGTGAACATGTAAGAGCACAATAACCTTGAACTTACCATCCATATCGCAGAAAATATATTTGAACTTTGGTTTATAAAATCGCAGGCTGCCTTCTCTCTTCCTGTCTTTTAACAATCCACCTGTAAGATTATCTCACTACAAATTTATATAAGAAAATCATAGCTACAGAATGAATAAGGTCCAATGACAAAAGGATGTGAAACTGAAGCCGAAAAAAGATAAAACTACCATCTGGTTTTTCCTCATGAGAATTAACATGGGTTTCAGCATCATGTGCACTCTGAATTAATCCTTTCCCCTTCCACCCAAGACTCTTTAATAGAAGCTCCTCCTCCTTCTCCATTTCCACTTCGGCCTCTTCACTAACCTCATGATCAAATCCTAATAAATGTAACAATCCATGTACCTACAGGAGGATTCAGTGATTAAATTTATCAAATTACACCAAAAAGTGTCACCCCAAAGTATAAACTTCAAAACATATATACATATACTTAAACCAACCAACCATGAGAATGCGTATCTCGTCTATAAGTGAGTGACCTCTTTCCTCTGCTTGTCTTGCCGCTGTCTCAACAGAAATCACAATGTCACCCAACATAAGCTGCAAATGATACAAATGCTCAGTGACTAAAGTTACGTAATAAGAAAACAAATAAGATTTAACAAAGAGAACAAAGCAAACGAGCTAGTACAATGGGAAGCTTAAGATCAGGGACATGTTGCGACAACGAAAGAACATCAGTTGCATGGTCCTCGTTTCTCCATTCCTTGTTAAGTTTTCGGATAAACTCATCGTTGCAGAGAAGCACTGAAAGCTCGACGCTTTCAAAACCACCAACGTCGCTTATGGCATTGTCCCTTGTTTTGTACACTGAACCATTCAAACCATCAAACGCTAGCTTCATCGCCAATGGAACGTTGAGACGAAGCAATTCCGCAATACTCTGCAAATTTCAAACTCCACTTTACTTCAGCTAATATGCTATGCTTGTATTATACCGAGAAACATTTACACAAACACGTGGTGGTCGTACTGAGCTTACCAGGACTTCAGGATCGTCAGGCAAATCTTCCTCAATGCAAATGCTGACATCGAGCTCTATCTCCTTCTCCTTCTCCTTGGTTTTTGTGGTTCTCCGCCTCATCTTTCGGTACTCTCTCTGCGAACGGTAGATTGGCCCGCTTAACAACGGTGGCCTCGCAGCTCCTCTCCATTCGTCTCCGCACAAAGAGTGAAATTTCCAACCGAAAAGTGAAGACTTGGAGGCGTAGAAACGCTGCGTTTTGGGAGGGGAGATTGAATGCGGGAGAGCGGGAAATGACGCGGCGGTGTGCCGAATGGGAATGGGGGTGATGGACAGGAGAGTGGCGCGAGGAATGTAACGCCCCATTTGAGTGGCGGAGGAGGAGGGAAGGTGGAGGGTGCGAAGCAGAGTAGACGAAGGGAGAATCATTTACAGGCCAGGCCTTTGGAGCTCGTAAGGCAGTGTGTTAATGGCTGCTTCGCGCCCTGTGAGTGACAAAGTGATGAGACGTCACGAAAACGAAGGTTTCCATACACCACAACAAATGAGAGAACGGCGTTCTGTCTTTTTTTAATTTTTTTAATTTTTTAATTTTTTTTAATAATAATTATAATTATTTTAAAGTCAAATTCCTTTGAAATTGTAGATTCATTCTAGTTAGTAAAATACGGAACCAGAAAAAATATGAACAAAATACATACGTGTTTTATTCGGCATAATTTTTGCAAATTACAACTTAAATGTTCGGTCATTATATTATTTTTTAATAAATTATTTACATTTTTTAATATAGATTATTTTTATTCAATAATAAATGAGAATTATGTGTAAAATATGTGAATTTTGTGTGTCTTAATAATTTTGTAAAAAATACATATATTAAACATGAAAAATATGTACATACTTGTATAATACGAGTATTACATATTTACTTCTTAAAAAACGTGAATTTTACCAAGTCTTTAAGGCTTGTGCATAATACAAATGTCTTATTGAAAAATACATACATACATGTATAATACATTATTAAACGTGAAAGTGCTAAATTATTTATACGGATAACAACTCTAAAAAAGTAAAAAATCAAAAGTAGACAAAAGAGATTTGGGTAATGGCCTAATGGTAATGAATAATGCTCTAAACTACTTTTATCAATAAATGAAAATCGGGGAAAAGAATATATATAAATAAAGGGTATGGCCGCACGGCTATCATAATTATTAAAAAAATTAAAACAAGAAAAACCCAGTACCGCCGAACGGTTATACTATTTTCACACAAAAAATAAGGAAAAATTGAGTATAGCCGTCCGGCTATACTATTTATTCTATAAAAAAACCCCGCCCAAAGTGTCATAATATGCTTAGCCGTGCGGTTATATTATAGTATAGCCAGACGGCTATACTATTTATATATATTAAAAAGGGACTCGCTTGGCGCTAGGCGCCACGTGTCAAAACAGTAAAGCCGACCGGCTATACTATTTTGAAAACAAATTATGGAAAACGAGTATAGCCGGTAAAAAAATTTAGAAAAAACAGATTATACCCCGTTGGCTGTACTATTTTTTTAAATTTTTTTTAAAAAAAGGTACTATGTAGAGGTATGATTGGTAATTTGGTACCATATCCAGGAATGTTGAATGGAATGGGATTGTGTTTGGCTTTAACTTTTGAGCGTTTTCTGAAATATTATTATTTGACCAACTGAGAAATGATCCTTGGTGGGCAAGGTACTCTTATGCCTAAAAGCCGCCCCATTTAAAGTCTTGTATTTCTTTTATGCCTGACAAATGGAGATGGAAATTGTTCTATCTTTTTGGACATATGCAAAATGAATCTTCGTTTTTTTTCCCCCATCTTGTTTGCGTTTTAATTGCGAATCCTAGAATTTTGGGGTTGTCTTGTCTATCAACATGGCCCTAAACTGCCACATTCAGCTGGCGAACTACCTAGTGTCTCAATGGCAGGGGTTCGAAATCCGTTGGAAGCACTTTGGCCAAGAGCAAGCCGAACTCCGAGCGGGGATTAATCATACCCTTCAGGTGTGGGGACACCTCTTAGTATTTGCCAAAAAACATGGTCGTAGATCTCATGTCATCAGTCTCACCTTTAATAGTCTATGCTCTCATGTTTTCACAGACGCCGATCCATACCTAATTGATCTACCAATGGGCCACAGGGTTTTCCATAGCCTCGTACTTTTTCCACGTGTATTGATGTGAGTGAAGGGTCAGATATGGTACAAACAAATATCCTGCAACATCTCGTGAACCCATGAATAAAAATATGAAATGTCATGCTAGGTTATCTCATAAAGATAATTGAATAATCTATCCCAAAAAAGAAGAGGATTTCACCCAAAACGACAATTAAAAAACGTATAATTTGGATAAGGTCCATCCAAATGACAATTAAAAAACGTTTCAGTTTCTCAAAGTAGTGGGCGGTCTACAAATAAATAGGTCCTTAATAATCTTGTTTACCTCTCCATGTATATATATACACTTTATTCTTTTCTTAATTGATTCAAGTTGGGAAGGATAGGATAGATACACTTTTTATGCTTTGATTTCTACTTTACAGACTCGATCAACAGACGATACAACCATCCTACATTATCATGTAGGCTTTTAATCAAAGCTAATTTTCCACAGTTGAGCTTCTATTATATTCTTTTGTTTTTGTTTTGGTTGGAGGAATTGTTATTTTGTTCAAAATGATCATTTTCTTTTCATTAATTTTTCAGGGTCTGAAATTACTCAAGGCATCAGTGGAGTCTAACGCAGTTCTCACCAATGTCTTCCTTGGGAAGAAAGAGGAGTAAACATGTCAACTTTGCGCCTGATCAATTCTGGAAATGGAATTTGGGAGCTGTTTGACTGTTGTGCGTCTTAGTTCGGACTAGGGATTGATAAAGAGTGTCTTACATTGTTATTTTGTGGTAAACAATCAGTTGTAAATTGATGAAATCGACTTCACCATGCTCCTTCAGAGGATAGTTTCTTCTGTTAAGGTAGCTGAACTGACTTTTGCTAGAACTTCCGAGCAGCTATACTCTTTAAATATAATATATTAAGATAGTATAGCCGCACGGCTGTACTCGGTGTTTTTTTAAATTGTTTTTGAAATTAATAGTATAGCAGCCTGGCCCAAAAAAAGGCCTATTTTAATACAATGTTTAAGGCCATTTTACAAAACCCAACCCGTTAGTTATATTAAAAATTAGGTCAGATATCTTCTTCTTCCCAGCGTCGCCTTCTCCTTCCTCTTTGTCTCGATCTCTCTCTCTCTCCGTCTTTGTTCCTAACAAGAAGCGGATCATGCGCACTTCAACCGCCCTTTGTCCACGCCTCAACAGCAAAGCGCCGCCCAGACCCGCCTAGAACCGCCTAGAGCCGCCTAGGGCCGCCTAGAGCCGCCTAGGGCCGCCTAGGGCAGCCTAGAGCCTCCTAGGCCGCCTAGGCGGGCGCCCAGGCGCCGCCTAACTCCCTAGCGCCTTCCCCTAATGATTAGGGTGAAATTGCGGCGGTGTCCTCCCTCCTAGGGCCTAGGCGCCGCCTAGACCGATTTTTCGAACCTATTTAAGATTACAGTTTGTTGGTGGAAATAAATATGCATCTGTAGATTATATTCCCTCTGTATAGGTAATGACAGATTTGTATATGTAGAGTTGCTTTGTGGTCGACTGATGATGCAGGGTCCAAGGTGACCTTCCACCTTCTTGATCCGTTCACCATTGCCATTTTTCAATAATTTTGAATTTAGGATACTTTTTTTGTGAAGGTCTGTCCTTAATATCCCTCAATGGCTACCACCAACAGCGCTAGCGTGAGTTTGAAGCTTCTGATTGACACAAAAAGCCACAAAGTTCTATTTGCTGAAGCAAGCAAGGAAGTTGTTGATTTCCTTTTCAGTTTTCTGTCTTTGCATGTTGCAACTGTTACTAGGCTCCTCTCAACTGATGGTATGGTTGGTTGCTTAGGCAACCTTTACGAAAGTGCCGAAACTCTTAGTGTCGACTCATACTTGCCACTCAATCTTAAGGACACCCTGCTCAAACCCAAAACAACAATTTTTGCGGCCAATATCCTTCAATTGCCATTGCCGGCCAACAATGACTAGAATCTTTCTAAATTGTTCTACATTTGCGTAAGGTGAAGTAACAGTATTTCTGAGAGCTATGGAATCCCTTGTCCACAGTGCAGATCATGTAACATTTCCACCCCGGCGTCTTATGTTTCTCCATCTGCTCCTACTGGAGCAACCTCCAGCAATATTAAGGCAGGCTATTTCAAGGGTGGTGTTAGTTACATGATAACGGATAATTTGGAAGTGAAGCCAATGACCACCGAATCAAGTGTTGCAGTGCTTCAAAAGTTCAATGTGAAAGGGATTGATGCTCTTCAAGTTAAGGAGGTTTCATGTCCTATATAGTTTTCTAACTCTTACCAGTGGCTTGTTGATCTATTTAGAGAGCTAAATCTCTTACGTGCATATTTCTCTTTCTTGTAGGGTTGGAAGTTGGTGAAGGCATCATTGGAGTCAAATACCGCTCTTACCATTATCTTCCTTGGGAAGAAACAACACAAACTTTTCAACTTTGGTCCTCTGGCGACATTGAGCTTTTGGGGTTTCATTTTGGTTTGTGGATTTTGATTTCTATTACTTTGGATCTTGTAAAATTTGGTCCATTTATTCTATTGGTTTCGTTGATTATATCTCAAGAAAACTAATCCGCCCGAACAATTATTCAGCTTTATCGTTGATCCAGAACAAATAAGGAGGCCAATTTTGTACTGAGGGAGGTTGAAGAAATCTAGCTCATCTATATATACTGATTCAAAACATCTGAAGAAACTGATGAATCGTCGAAGCCTATCCTCCTGATTGACACAAAGGGCCATTTGAGTGCAGCCGTTTCTCTATGATTGCCTTTTTACTTTAATTTCACAACATAGCAAATGCAGCTACTGCGTATAATTTAGAATTGAACTCAAACAATTTGGCCTGGTTTATGTAAATTCATATTAATAGTATCGCCATTAAAAGAGTATAGCCGTCCGGCTATACCTTAAAAAAAATTCTTTTCCTAAATTAATAGTATAGCTTAGGTCCAAGTCATTACAACATGACAAAATAAAATAAACTGAACTAAACTCATAATTGTTGACCCAAAAAAGAAGAACTAAGCTCATAATCAAAAGCCCAATATTACTACAAACCTAGCAACCCTACCAAAGACGGTTATAAACCAACATCCGTTGCCCTGATCATTGTCGCCGCAAGTTCATCACCACTGCAACCACAGGACAAGAACATGGGTTCGTGAAGACACCCGAAAGAACCGACCGGCTTCTTTTCAATTGTCTTATTGTGCATAACTGCAAGCTGCTTCAGGAAGGGGGGAAAAAAAAAAAAACTTTAACAAGTGGGCTTGTGTTGAGTTTATTGAATCCATGAATATTGCTTTTCCAGTCAATCCCAAATTAAGGTCCATAAAATACGCAAGGGCGTGGTGACATA